GCCTACGGTGGTTTTTATCAAACAATATTGCAAAGTCAGATACCACAGGGCTGGGGTGATGCAAGGAATGCACAGATTTGATTCACAAGATTAAAATCCAAATGCTAGAAGTCAGTAAATCCCCAAAAGGGTTCTGGTAGACAGCCAAATAAGAATAGCAGAGCAGGATATAAAGCTTATTATCTATTTATATGATGTTAGTAAGGTCATTACGTAAGGACATGTTCTGTTCTGGCATCTACTTTTCAAAAAAGAACATACAGAAAATTAGAAACAGTTTAAAAAGCTGACAACAAAAACTAGAGGGATGAAGAAAAAAAATTAAGAAATTCAATCCGTTCATATAAAGTAAGATTGGGAGGTATTTTGATCATGGTATGTCAAATCCCTGGATCAGGACATTTGCAATAGCAGAACATCCTCCAAGAGAGATATATTGAAATGCAATGGTTGGGAGCCAAAGCAAGATGAACTCAAACACAGGGTTGGGTTTTGGTTTTTTTTTGAGAGCACAGTAGTTGCTCAAGTAACTTACCTACAGAGGTGACCGATTCTTTTTCTGAAGTTCTTAAAGCAAGACTTTTTTTCTAAAATACATGCTCAACTTCTTGACATTATGCTTCTGATGTTGAAATCAGTCGGTGAAGTTTTATGACTGTGATATCCAGGAGAGCGATCAGATGAGTTCCCTCTACCTTTACTAACAAATGGAAATGTGAGCCTCTGATGGCCCTTAGCACTGAAACCTTTGTTTCAATTGCTAATTCGCCTTCTACTTCTGGGAGCCTGGTAGTACCCACTGTTTTTCAAGCAGTGAACCCTCCCTCCAAGCAGAAGAGCCTGGCTCTGTGGGCAACCCTTTGCTCACTAATTTGAATGAGTTGGCACAAACTAAAAACCCAGGAAGGCAGAAAGAACTGGGAGAACCATACTGCAGCCCAATTCCCCACTAGAGGAACAAGAAAGGAATTCTGTGTCCATACGCACATGCAAAGAGGGACTGGGATGAGTAAATCAGCTGGATCTGAGGAATTCAATGCAGCTGTTTGCTGGAAGCAATCACCCTTCAGATCCAGAGGTATATGCTTGAGAGACAGAGGGAGAGAATATGGCTCCTAATTCTTTCATATGACCAACTGCTATATTAATGGAGACGCAAAATCTTGACATGGTTGCCAATGAAATACTAATGGTGGATGAAAAGCCAGAGGGGAAAAAAAGGCCCCTGGTGGAAAGTGGCCAGCCCCAGTTGCAGAGCTAAAGCAAACTACAGTTGCTTTCCAAAAGCTGTTGTGGTGACCTGATGTTTTAAAGCACTCAGATGCTGCTGGTGGAATGAATCTCGGCAGTGGATTTGTCATGGAGAAGATTCAAGCTGAAGAAATGATTCTTGCAAGTGGTAGAACCCTACAGATTAAGGCAGGAGACATTCAAAATCTTATGTAAAGCACACTGAAGATTTGAACAGGTAACATACTTCAGAAGACTTGATTAGAAAAAGAAAAATAACTTAGGAATATACCCCAAAAATACACACACAGATGATTACCTTTGCTTCAGCCATCAGTCATTTGATAGGAAGTCTCACTAAGACTGTTTTATGAAAACCTTGCATTATACTGTGCAGGCTCACAATTCTCCATTTAGCACCAAAAAAATCCAGAGATTCTGCAAGAAGGATCAGGCTAAGACTCTGGAAGAACACATTTAATTCAGCTACAACGAACAGGTAAATTACACTGTATTTTTTACATATGGTGTATTTATATTTTTAAATAAAAGGCCTGCTGTTGTAGCCCCTATGTAGGTAGAATTCTTTCAGAATTTAAAAAAAGGTGCCTCAGTCAGGACACCAGGACAAAACTGAAGAAGTGTTCAGATATTTTATTATACTAAATCTTTCCAATTGAACTAGCAACTGATAAAACAACTCTCAGGCTTATTTTTCTAGTATGAGGAACCTTTTTAAAACCTCAAACTTCAATGCAAGCTCAGAGCACTCATTTTACAAGTAGACTTAGAGCATCTTACATGTTTGTGAAAAGCTGCTCTTGCTACAGTAACTCCAAGGCTTAGCTAATCAAGCCTCACAACTAAAAAGAACCTAAATATGAATGTAAAAGAGCACACACATTTACTATAAACAAACGCAACAAAAAACAGAGGTTTGTGCATAGAGTGCTTGCAAAATAACTCCACTTGCTGCTTTAGTATCAGAGCACTGAAGAACAGCAACTTCCCAGTTATCCAATCCTTCTCCAAGGATTCTCACAACAAAAGAGTGAACTGTGCATTTTAGCTCCTTCTTGATCATTTCAAACATGCAAATGTCAAGAACTCCTGGGAAAGGCACTATATTAGGGAACCACAGGTATACTTGTAAGCACAAACCCCCATGCAATGTGTACTATGCACCTGTGTATATATATGCACACATATTTATATAATATATATATATAAATATGCACACATGCACATCATTAAATTAGAAATCTTTCTCCTTCAATGCAATCATGTTG